AAGGGAATACTTTATTGTTATTACTGGATGTATTAGGAACACTAAAGGCACCAAATCAACTTTAGCTTAATGAAGCTGTTTTGTATAGATCATGCCTCTGCACGCCCACTTCTCAATTCTCTGCCATTTCTGAGTTAAATCCTTTTGTTTATACAGGCCTAGCCCTGCAAGTGACTTGCACAGCCTTCCTGAACACTTCCTGTAAAGAGAGATCTAATGTTTAAACTTCCTTTATTGTAAAAAAAAAATGTATTTTGAATTTCTTATTTCCTGCTCTCTTAATATCGTTTAGACCATGCAGAAGCCACGTGTATGATTACAGTTATAATTTACAGAGCAGAAGATAATTTCTAAATCAAGTTTATATTGAATAATATCGGAAATGAAACAATTTTTCTATGAGGCTGTGTGAGTCACAGCCAGGGGAGGTGTGGCTAGGGCTGCATAAACAGAACCTAAAGTCGTTTAACGCCTAAATAGCAGAGAATTACACAAAAACTTGCTTCATTCAGCTAACGTTGATTGAATGCCTAGAGTGTCCCTTTAATATTTTTTAATACTGTGCCAATCCAGAAATAAATTGTTTAAAAATCATAATTACTGGAAAGCACTCTTACACCCCCCACCCTCCCCATTCTCTCTTCTGTACCCCTCTCCCTCATATACTTGAATTTATGCAAAAGCTATAAATAAAGAATTATACAAAAAAAAATCATAATTACTAAATGTCGTCATTTGGTAAAAGCATATTGCCATGATGCATGTTATAAAATGTTGGAGATAGGGCTTTTGAATGATGTACAAAGTGCAGTATATGTGGCAATAATAATATGAGAAGTTCTGTCTTTTAGCTGCTATTAGCCTTGTGGACTTTTAAACTACAGATTCACTCTGCACATTCTTTATTCCTCTTGCAGATTGGGTCTGAATTTGTAATCTTATTTCTTAGATAAAGTCATAGATCCATACTTGTTAGTATACATTCTAGGATATTCATATAGTTTTTTTTTTATTATTCTGGGTTCTGTTGAGTATAAATATATATCTGCTGTGTAACCTTTTTATTTGCGATCTGCAAAATTCTTTTTTTATATACTTTAGTTTTATTCAGTTTGCCGGGACAGATGGGGTTGAAAGACAGGTTTCCAGTTGCTCCCCAGGCCAACATAATGTTAAGTGTTATTTCATAGCATTTAAGGCTGCCAGAGTTAAGTAGCCACTATTTATCAGCCCAATGCACACACACATGGCCAGTGTATGGTTCAAAGAAGTTGATATCTTATAGCGTCTGTCTGCCACCTGACGTGTACAATCTAATGACACGACAGCAGGGTATGCATGACATCAGCAGGGTGGCTGCTGCATGGTGTTATTCTGTGAATGTGAGTGTGTGAATGGCAAAGTACCAAAACACAGCCCTTCTAAGAGCCACAGCCATTTCAAGTCTGACTCTAAAAACATTGTTGAAATACATGTTAACTACCAGGAGGTACAATACTTTCAAAAACACATTAACAGGAGTATAAACACACCCACAAAATGTCACCAAAATGCCATGTCATCATGACTTAGCATAAAATGACAAAATATAGAAAACAAACAAAAATACATATTTTGCATAAAGGAACCTCCATAGTTCATACATCCCTGAATAGCCTGGATCTGTGCACCCAACATATCTGAAAAGCGCTCAGATCCCACAAACACAGCCAAAACACCACCGGGGTAAAGTTCCGACCAGCCGCACACATGGTCCTATGCCCAAAACAGTTCCAGGGCATTTTGTGCTTTTGCCGGTAAACTTCGGTAGTTACATACGAAAGATATACCGAACGCACACACTGGCTTGTTTGTAACGTTTGTTTGTATGAACCATTCGAACAAACCTACCGAATGGCGCTCTCCTGACATGTGTGGGGAAGAAGCAGGCATTCGTCAAAGTTCAGCAGTGTTTGGGAGATTGTGTCCGTTTTTAGTTCCACGCGATCAACGCCGAAACACAGCTGCCTGCATTCTCACGAACAAAATGGCCGCCATCACAGTTCCCACACATTCGTGCATATGAACAGCGGCCACCAATCAGTACAATTAGAACACACGTGATTGAAGTGTCAGGAGAGGTTCACAGGTTCACAGGAGTTAACAAGCATAGAGGTGGTACGCAGTTCGTAAGCCTGTTAGGTTCCCGAACAGCACAAATAAATCCAGCCTTTTCTATGGCCCATAGTCAGTGGGCAGGAGGCTAGCATCCTCCAGGAACCTGTGGCAAACGTCCAGGCAAGGGGGCATTCGTCACAAGCCACACCTTAAACCAACTGAAGTTGGCAGTGATAGGCTGGGTGTGCTCAGCTGATCTCTCAATCCAACCTATACACCTATAGTTCAGTTTGTCAGTGAAACAAAATAACTCAATATCCAAACAAAGTATGTGAGATCTACATGCCGTATAAGGAGAAATAATTAAAAAAAATGGGTGGGTAAACGCCATTCAACTGTCAGCACATATTCAATAAGCATATTATAGTCCTAGTCAAAGCTTTATAGTGAAATATGCAAAGGGTAAGTGAGCGCCCCAGGTCCACTGGTCAGAGGCAAAGTGTCTAAGAAGGGCAAGAACGATATGAAACTGGGCAACATGCTGTGCTGGGCCACTGGAATGTATTTGCCATGGGCCACTGGAATGTATTTGCCATGGGCCACCAGATTCCAGTCCTCCCCTGTCTGGGATATTCTCAGCTGGAAGATTCACCATTCTTATGCACAAGTTTTATTCAGTTTTGCTGTTAGCTCTCTGTCAAATGAAGTAGTATATATATCTAAGTAGCAAACAATGCTGTTTCAGCTATATTGTTTTGAAAGAAGGAAATTTTTTTATATATTTCTTTCTATTTATAACATTGGGAAGTATTAAATCTGAATGAAATAAGGATGTGATGGGTTGGTCCAATCTCTAATGCAATATGTGTCACGCAGAATGCTCGTGTGCAGAGCACTGAACGAGTGTTCTTGTACAGGCTTAGCTGCTCTGCCATTGCCGTCACAGCTGTATAAGTGCATTTAATGATCCTCGTGTGCCAGAAAAAATTAAGCATGGTGGTCAGAAGTTCAAAATCAAAACTGTCTTGCTGCACCTGAGACTCACAAAAGCATGTAATATATGATGTTTCACTTTTATTTAAGACAAGTAAAATGTGCCATTTCTTTTTTCTTTGTGAAACAGGCTAGAGTTATGGCCACCATTGGAGTCACTAGGGGACTTGGAGATCATGATCTTAAGGTCTATAACTCCAACATCTACATCAAACCTTTCTTGTCTTGTGCCCCAGGGGTAAGTATTTGATGCAAAAAAAAATGATACTGTCTGGTATGATCTGGTGTGATGGTCGGCCATCATTGAGCTACATAGCCAATAATCTTTCACTTGTAGGTAAGAGTTTATGACCTCTCAGAATATGATCACGATGCTAATGACGTCATGGTTATGGGAACAGATGGACTGTGGGATGTCATCAAAGATGAGGAAGTGGCTGATATTGTTCAAAGAGTTTTTGCATCACATGATAATGATGACCAATCAAACAGGCAAGTGGAAACAGAAACAAGACCGCAATGCGCTTCTATAAATCTCTGTGCTACTCTATAAATGTATCTGCATTTCTGTTAGAACATTCTATGGCTAATATTCTTGTATAGGACTCTATTTAATATTTTAGTTAAATGTTTAAAAACATTTTTTTTCAAAATATTAGAATATCAAAAAATTTTTAGATGTAAAAATATATCTGTATATCTGTTCCAAAAAACACAACTGGGAAAAGACGCATTTATGTATTAAAACAAACAAAAAAGCAACACAAATAAATAAAGCGCATTGCCTGTGCACAGTGACACTGAATAGAATTGCAAATTTTTACCCAAAATAGCCAAATTAGAAACATCCTCTAAATTCGCCATGCTTCCATTTCATGTAAATTTCCAATCATTTAATGAATGCCTAACAATTCACAGTGTATAACCCTTAACAGATGTGCATGTCTTAGGCACAATAGGGAAGGCTTTCTCTCTTCTCCCAGGAGACAGTGTCAGCTTACATGCTCAGTCAATCAGTGCTGTCCAAGTTTGTATGAAATTGAAATTGCCAATGTGGAAATCTAACATTTGCATAAGCAATACTGAGAGCAAGGGGCTGGGCTCTGGCAGCGTGGAGGGCTTTTGGTTTGTTACGAACCACTTAAAAAAGTTTTAACACAGAACCAAGGAATTACGCCACTAGTCTACTAATGCCATAACCACTATAATGGGCTGTAGTGGTTGTAAAGTTTAAAGTTTGCCTTCAAACACCTATAGTTCAGTTTTTCATTAAAACAAAATAACTAAATATACAAACAAAGTATATGATATCTGGTTAAAATATAAGGAGAAATAATAAATTTAATGGGTGGGTAAATGGTCATCATTCAACTGTCAGCACATATTCAATAAGCACATTATAGTCATAGACCGAGTTTTCTAGTCAAACATGTATTTTTAAAGATCTTTTTTCTTTGCAGGTATAGTCTCGTTGCCAAAGAACTTGTCCTTCGAACGAGAGGAGTCCTAAAGGAAAACAGCTGGAGACTTGCTAGTGGTTCACAGGCCTCTGTAGATGATATATCTGTATTTGTTATTCCGTTAGCAGAGGGACATAGAAGCTTGTGACGAAGTGCACAGAAATACCATCATCGTGACTTTTGGAGACATGTCAATTAACGTTCTATTTTGGAGTCAAAGCCAGCTGAATGCACTTTATCGTAGAACACAAAGACTATTTTTTGTTATCGTTTAAACATTTATTTTGTTATTTAATGACACTGGTTTGTTCTTTTAAAAAATTTTGTTAAAAAAAAAAAAATATGATTCTAAAACATTCTTCTGTCATTCTGATTAGAAATTATACTCTACAAAAGCTGAAATCATTGTGGAGAAAAAAACCATTAATTTTATAAAGATAAAGTTTTTGGGTTTGTTTTGTTATTTTTATGGGGTCATATAATAATGTAAAAATAAAAAATAGATATAACAGATATTTTTTTCAGGGGGGAAGGCATAAAATGCAGATTTACTTCCTTATTTATATATTATACTTAGAATAAAGACTCAATCCTGTACAACATGGTAAGATAACCGAACAGCAGCCACCTACATGTTAAAACAAAAATGTGCTGTATAATCATCCATTGGGAAGGTGATTATTCTATCATTTTGAATTTAGCTTTCCAGTAACTATCCATCTTGGTCACTGGGTGGCAGCAGTGAGTTCTTACTAGGTTGCTTGTCAAGTAGAGGCAGTTTTGGCCTTCAGTCCATTATGCTGCGTCAGTGGAAGAGCAAACGTTCTTATTTGTGGTTCATCATAAGGGCTGTATTTTTACCAATATAGCCCAAATTAATTAATTAATATCACCTATAATAATCATAATCTTAACACTACAGCCCCTGGAAACCTTGTGTGAATAATGTATATACAATAATTGGCTACCAAATAAAGCTGTTAGACAGATAGAACATTGTAGAAAAACTGATGGGCTGTGACTTTCTAATGGTAAATAACCGAATTTCCATTTTTGTGACAAATATTGGAAACTCCCGCGTATGATTGCTGGGAAATGTGAGTTTAAGGAACTGAGCTCAACGACAAAAAGATATCCTTGTTTTAGTACAGTTTAAAGCGGCTGCTGCAAATCGTGGTGTATTACCACTGTATCTGTTCTCGCTGGTTGTAAGAAAGAAGAAAAACATACCTATTAGAAATGATTTTAGGTGACATGTTCAAGAGAAATAGGATATATTGGTACCATGTTCAGTGTGGACATTTGAAGTTTGATTTTCTGGTGTCAATTCGAACTCTTGAAGCAGCATTGGGGATTTTAAGATTAGTGTTGATGAACTTAAGGATATAGAGTTTGTCTGCATCGCCAAGGACCTTCACCCCCGAATCGGCTTGTATCAATAATAAAGCATCAGAAAATCCCATGCCAATTCTGTGGTCTTGAAAATTCTTCACTAGTATTTTACGAATATTTCTGCAGTGGAAATGCTTGGTATTCTGAATCAGTTTATCTGCTCTAATTTTAAAAATGGCATTTCCTAAAACGATGTAGACCTCTTGGCAAGAAATCAAATCTCAGTTTTGCCTTTTGAATTCACTGAATATATCTTATTGGGTGAATTGTCAGGAATTTAAGGCGCTTCCAGTTTCCAGACTCTGGTTCCACTGAAACGATGCTTGATGTCCTCACAGTCTGCATGAGGACATAAAGGGTCAGTGAAATTCCCATAGGAAAGCATCGAGGTACTGCTTTCCTATGGGGAGGGCCTAATGCGCTTGTGGAGCTCACCATACATTAGCCCCTCCTCCCAACTCCCCTTAATGTGCAGGGGGGAACAGAAGGCATTGTAGTGTTAGGAATACAGATTTGTATTCATAACACTATAGAATCTCTTTAAAGCGCTACTAATTTCTTTTATATCCTATGACAGGGTGTCACAAAGCACGGTCTGTTATTTCATATGTGAGTAAAGAAACATTTCAGAATGTGGAAAGACATTTAAATCTTTACCATTAAAAGGATATTCCTGTGAATTCAGGTTTTCAACCATCCAGTTGCAACTTCGTATGCATTACACCCTTTATACAAGAAGGATCCCTAAGCCAAGTCAAATACACAAGCTTTGTTAATGTACTTAGGATTATTGACGTGTCATTTAAATTCCATAAATGACGGAAATCATACTATGCCGGAGGCAGCCCTCACAAACCTAGCTTGACTTGTTTCTCCTCAAGGACTTGAATTCATAAGCAAATACATTCTATTCACATACGATGAGAAATACATTCCGTACAAGCAAATGACCATCCTAACTGGAGTTACCAATTTGCATGTTTTGCCCAGTGTGCTTGAAGAATAACGTACATGAAGATTTGTATAGCCAACAGCTAAGTTTTATTTAACCATTTTGTTCCTCTAAAACGTTAAATGTGACCATGTAATTTTAAGTATAATTCATTGTTTAGTAAATAAACATGGAATAGAGATACAAAGGGGTATATTATTTCCTAAAAATAGTGTTTCATTTGAAGATGTATAGCAGAAGTCATATGTAGTTTTTTTTTTGTTTTGTTTTTTACTGTGTATTTTAACATTTACAGGAGCTTTTATTTTATCGTTACATAGTTACATAGCTGAAAAGAGACTTGTGTCCATCAAGTTCAGCCTTCCTCACATATGTTTTTGCTGTTGATCCAAAAGAAGGCAAAAACACAGTCTGAAGCGCTTCCAATTTTACCACAAACTAGGAAAAAATTCCTTCTTGACCCCAAAATAGCAGTCAGATGTCTCCTTGGATCAAGCAGCTATTACCCCACTAATTAGAAATTATATCCCTGTATGTTATGTTTTTGTAAGTATTTATCCAATTGCAGTTTAAACATCTGTAATGACTGACAAAACCACCTCTTCAGGCAGAGAATTCCATATCCTTATTGCTCTTACTGTAAAAAAACCCTTTTTTTTGCCTTAGATGAAATCTCCTTTCTTCCAGCCTAAATGTGTGACCTTGTGTCCTATGTATAGCCCTGTTTATCAATAGATTTCCAGATAAAGGTTTGTACTGGCTCCGAATATATTTGTATAAAGTTATCATATCCCCTCTTAGGTGCTGTTTTTCCAAATTAAACAGATTTAATTTTTTTAACCTTTCTTCATAACTAAAATGTTCCATTCCTTTTATCAATTTTTTGTAGCTCGTCTCTGGACTTTTTCTAGTTCCATGATATCTTTCTTTAGAACAAGCGCCCAAAATTGCACAGCATATTCAAGGTGTGGTCTTACCAGCGATTTATAAAGAGGCAAAATTATATTTTTATCCCGAGAATTTATGCCCCTATTTATACATGACAAAACCTTACTGGCCTTAGCAACTGCAGATTGACATTGCATATTGCTGCCTAATTTGTTGTCTATAACAATTCCCAAATCCTTCTCGCGTGTGGTTAACCCTAATTGACTACCATTTAGTGTGTAAGTTGCTTGTGCATTCTTAACCCCAAAGTGCATAACTTTGCATTTCTCTACGATAAACTTCATCTGCCATTTTAGTGCCCAGTCCCCCAATCTATCCAAATTCCTCTGCAGCCAAGCAATATCCTGCTCACATTTTATTACTTTACAATGTTTTGTCATCTGCAAACACAGATACATGGCTTTCAATGCCTATTTCAAGATAATTTATAAATATGTTAAATAGAAGTGTTCCCAGAACAGAACCCTGAGGGACACCACTTACCACGTTTGTCCAGCCTGAAAATTTACCATTAATAACAACTCGTTGTACTCTATCCTTAAGCCAATGTTCTACCCAAGAACAAGAATATTCATCTAGACCACTTTCTTTTAGTTTGAAGACTAACCTATTGTTAGGAACCATATCAAACGCCTTGGTAAAATCCAAGTAGATCACCTCCACCGCAACACCTTGATCTATACTTCTACTTACTTCTTCATAGAATGCAATTAGGTTAGTTTGACATGACCTATGTTTCATAAAACCATGCTGATTATTGCTAATAACAAAGTTCTTCCCAATGAATTCCTGAATATTATCCCTTAATAGCCCTTCAAATATTTTCCCAGTTACAGAAGTTAAGCTCACAGGTTTATAATTTCCAGGCAAGGATTTTGAACCCTTTTTAAATATAGGAACAACATCTGCCTTCCTCCAATCCTCCAGTACAACACCTGAAACAAAAGAATCTTGAAAAATTAAATACAGAGGTTCACTTATTTCCCCACTTAGCTCCTTAAGTACTCGTGGGTGAATACCGTCAGGCCCCGGATCTTTATTTACATTATTTTCTTTAATAGCTGTAGCACCTTGTCTCGAGTTATCCAATTGCAAGTTATTTGCAGCAATCATTTGCATATCTCTTGCCATAGGATCCTCATTAATATATTCTGAAGAAAAATAGTTATTTAAAATTTCTGCTTTTTCCTGGTCTTCATTAGCTAATAAACCCAACTCTGTTTCCAGTGTACCTACACTTTAATTTTTTGTTTTTTTAGAAAAAATTTTGGGGTTGGTTTTGCATTCTTTAGCTATCAATTTCTCATTTTCTAGTTTAGCCACTTTAATTGCCTTTTTGCAAGCGTTATTGGCTTTCTTATATCTTAAATAGGATGCCTCTGATTTGTCTGATTTAAATGCTTTAAATGCCCTTTTCTTATTTTTTATCTCGTTTTACTTCTCTACTAAGCCACATTGGTTTTAATTTGTTTATTTTATATTTATTACCTAATGGTACATACTGAGAAATGTACCTTTCTTATATTTGTTTGAATAGTTTCCATTTATCCTCAGTTTTTTTTTTTATCACTAAGGAGTTTATGCCAGTTGATATGTTGTAGAGCTGCCCTAATCTTATTGAAATTGGCTTTTTATATATTATATTATATGTTTTAGTATACCCCACTTGCTTTTGCTTTTTTTAGTTTATTTCAAAATTTACCATATTGTGATCACTATTTCCCAAATGCTCCCCTACTTGAATGTTAGTTAAAAGCTCAACATTGTTTGTTATAACGAGATCCAGACAAGCATCCTTTCTAGTTGGTGTTTGTACCAGTTGTGACGTAAACAGGGCCGGTGCAAGGATTTTTGCCGCCCTAGGCAAAAGTAAAGTTTGCCGCCCCTCCCCCCCATGTGACATCACAATGCCCCACCCATATGACCCGCCATGTTAACTAATGCCAGTGCTGCAGTGCCGCCGTGTTTACATTAAAACGCCTGCAGGGACAGGCTATGGACACCAGAACCACTACATTAAGCTGAAGTGGTTCTGGGGACTAGAGATTAGTTCCACGAATAATATACTAGATTGCCTACTTACAACCAGATGAGGATGATGATGGGCTCTAGCTGCAGTCTGGCTCCACTGGTCTGGTGTAGAACAGGCTCCCTGGAGGCTGTCGGTAACTGTGGTCACAAAAATCAATGTTCTGGGAGAATGGGAAGCAGCTCCATTTTTTTTTTAAGGCCCTTTATTTTATTTTTTTATCTGTGTTTGTATGTGTAAGGGCTGCAAGGTGTGTTTCTGTGTATGTACGGGATGCATTGAGTGTGTGTAAGGAATACAGTGTGTTTCTGTGTGTGTAAGGGATGCATTGTGTGTAAGGGTTGCATTGCTTGTGTGTGTGTGTCTGTGTGTGTAATGCATTGTGGGTTTTTCTGTGTGCAAGGGGTGCATTGTCTTTGTGTGAGGGATGTCAATCTCTTCTCCCCCCTCCCCCCTCCCTTGTCACTCTCTTCTCCCCTGCTTGTCCCTTTCTTCTCCCCCCTCCCTTGTCACTCTCTTCTCCCCCGTTGTCACTCTCTTCTCCCCTCCCCACTCTCATTCCCCCATCAATTCCCCTCCCTGTCAATTTCTTCCCTCCCTCCCTGCCACCCTCCCCTGCCAACACTTACCCCTGTCCATTGCCCCCTCCCGCCCATTCCCCCCACCTGTCCATTCCCCCCCACCCTGTCCATTTATTCCCCCACCTCCCTGTCCATTCCCCAGTTAGCCTCTCCCCCGTCCATCTCCCCACCACCTGTCCATATTTCCTCCCCTGTCCATTCCCTCCCCATAAGCCAATTCTCCTCACTTCTGTAGCGTGGCCGAGCCCTCTATGGTATGGTCCGCGGGTACAGGGAGCTTTTGTTTCCTGTACTCGGCCGTACTAACAGGAAGTACACACTCAATTTGCTCTAACAGCTGTTCTTCCTCAATAATATTTACATTAGGTGGTTTATAACATGTCCCAACCAATAATTGATTTCCCTTTGTTTGCCCCAAGCAGATATCTACCCATAAAGCCTCCACATTTTCCTCGTCACACTCCACATGCCTAAGATTTGACTTTAACTCATGGTTGACATATAAACATACCCCACCACCCTTGTTTTTCCTATCCTTCCTAAATAACGTGTACCCATTTAAATTAACTGCCCAGTCACGTGTCTCATCCCACCATGTTTCTGTTATGCCTATTATATCATATTGTTAGTGTATGCTTTTGCCTCTAGTTCCCCCATTATTTTTAATATAGGCTCCTTCCATTAGTAAGCATACATTTAATATTATCATGAGTCTTTTGTACTTTTTGTGAATTATCAATATTACATACCTCCTCTGTTCTGAGCTTTCCCCTCTCCCCATCTCCACCCCCTTTGTTCTGAGCTAAAGCCCATCTCCCTTCCATCCTATCTCCATTTTCTAGATTGCTTTGACCCCCTACCACTAGTTTAAAATCCCCTCCAACCTTCTAGCCATCCTAGCCCCCAGCACAGCAGACCCTCTTCCGTTTAGGTGCAATCCATCATGATTATACAGGTTGTACCCAAACGCAAAATCGGCCCAGTGCTCTAAAAACCCCAAACCCTCTTTCCTGCACCAAGACTTTAGTCACGCATTGACCTCTTTAATCTCCCGCTGCCTTTCTGCTGTAGCGCGCAGCACAGGTAATATTTCTGAAAATATTACCTTGGAGGTCCTTTTCTTTAGCTTACTTGACATAGCGCACCTGGCTGTTCTAGAACAGTCAAAGCATTCCATGTAAATTAGTTTAACCCCTGAAGTGTCACATGCTCATACAACATGTTTGTGCAGATGACAATTGTTATTAGCACAACTAAAGCGTCATAGTTAAAGGATGTTTCCCTTGCAACACAGGTAAGAATGTCTTTGAAGTCTTCTGACAGTTGAAGCAGGTCTTTTTGCACCACATGCCTGTCAGCTACTGAGCAAGCAAATACCACAATTTCTTTTTTTTTTTACCTCAAATTAGATACCTTTACCCGAGTGGAAGAAGACACCCTTCATGTTAAGGGAGAGACTTTTCACCAGATAACACTTTTTTAGATCTTTCACCATCTATTTTATTGTGCCTAGTTTTCTTTACAACAGCCTGATCACATCATCTTCAAGTTCCAGTTGGGTGGATGATTACTTGCAATAAATAGTAGCAATGATGTAGAACTTTTTATGTATTCCAAAGATTGGCCTCCATTTAATATTGTTAATTCATTTTCAAACTAATGTAATACTTGTGGATAAACTTTTAAAATGATGCAATATTGTGTAAGATCTGTTTTGTAATATTGCTATACTGATGAAAAATTTATATATATTTTTTGTTGATTTTAATATTTTGATTAAAAAATTTAAATAATTTTTGCCAAAAATATTAAATCATTTGGAAAGCTTATCCAACAATATTAAATCAAGGACATTTTTAGTTTAGCCATTTCCAAATCTCTCAAATTTCAATTGCTAAACCATGTTCATGGGAAATGTACCAGCATACCTACATCTAACCAATATCTCATTATGATGAATTAGACACCCTGACCAACATGACCACTGCTGCTTACAGCCATGTTGCCTACAGCGTACATTGAAGAACAGTGTGACAAACCATTGCCACACTGATGATGTGAAATTAACACTTCCGAGAACACCAAGCCCCAAAACCACTATAGCATGCTACACTGCTTATGGTGCCAGTATTGCCAATGTAGACTCTCCACCCCCTTTCGCAACTGTAAGTATTCAAACCTTTCTAGATTAGAGAGTTGCCAGGCCTAGCTCATGAGATGTATTGGAAGGTCCTAAGAGACTGCAGATATTTCATGAATGACACCTTGTAGACCCTGTAAAAAGCCAGACAATTCTAGAAATATTGAACTACTTGTATTGGGATGGTGTGGAGGTGGGTACTGGTTATGGTCCTTGGAGTGTTCCTTTTAAGGGATTTAAAGTTGTGCTAATAAGCAACAAATATAGATTGAGATTCACACAGTTTAAAATTTAAGAAAATGTTTATTAAAAAACACAAACAAGTGCAAATATGACAAAAGTCTTAACAAAAAAAAGTCAAAGGCAATGTGTGGCGCAATGGTGTTCAGTATTGATCACATGTTTTACAAATAAAGTACTTTTTTATTGGACCTCTACACTGCTGCTTGATTCCTACTTTAGATATCCTGGGTGGGAATATATACAACACCTACGCCCTCCGGATTGAGCAAACTGTTATTTGCTCTACCCCATGTAAGTAGATTGTTTTAGCTCTACTTTCAGTGTACAGTATGGTCTTTGTGTTTTATTTCCACACCCCCACATATACGAGGACCTGCACTACACATAAATCTTAGAGTGGGTGTTATACCACTATATTATGCTAGCACGTTTGCTAGAAATTGTAACGTTTGGGAGAAAGCCTATTTAGAAATAGGTCTCTCCATCTGTCAGTGAAATCTTTAGCACAGACTATGCCGAAAAACTGACTAACAAGGGTAAGCAGAAAAGACCTCCCTCAGGTGGTCCTGATCTCCACCCACAGCACATGCGCTGTAATTGCTATGGAAACTCCCTAGCTGACATTGCTAGCGCTGGCTAGGGACTCCGTTCAGGCGCCAGCATGCTGTTGGCAAAATTAGCATGTCGTGGAAGCATCCTCAAGCAGGGCAAATCACAGAGGGGACCAGGTGGGTGTTCCAAGAAGAGTAACACCCATAAAGCTAAATAAATTGCAGCGCTGGAAAAGAAGCAAGGTATTATCCAGAGGTTTTACATGGAATACATCATGTATGATGCTATATGAAGCATTCGATGAAAATTGGAGGGAATTCAAGATAGCTTGTGATAGATTCACTTTAGTTGGATTTTAAAATGTTATTTTCGATCAACAGAATGAACAGCCATCTAAATGTTGGAGCACAACCAGCCACCCAAACTTTACAACTGTAAGTACCCATCTACATTTCACCAATTACTGTTCTATGTAAAGTAGTCTGCCCTTACTATATAATTTCAGGATCAACTTGCAATGTAGTGTATATTTTAAGTCAGGTTTTGTTTAACGAAAAGCTAAATCACAGTAAACACACCATAGCATCACTTCAGGGAGTGACTGTCAACATTTGCACTTGGGGTGTACCAGGCTACTTTTCACATGGCTGTCAGCCAACTAGAATTTACAGCTGGAGAGCCAAAACATTTGGCAACACTTAGAAGTAAAAACATTATTCTCCTAACCAATGTCTGTTGCAGCATCCAAAACCTAAGTGATATAAAGGTAACATGTCAAGCCTTTCTCCTTATGCACCAACTACTTTATTTTTTAAAGACTAATGATATTATGGCTTTAGTAGATGTTCATTCAATACTCCTCTTCTCTCCACCAGCAACCATATAGTATTCATCAATTATTTAATGCCCCAGTGCCTCTTTTCTCCAACCCTCTCTCGGACATAACTAGTGCTACTTAGGAACCTATCCTCAAGCAGGGCAACATTCCCTGTAATACTTGTTTCCTTGCCAGTGCATCTGCATTAGAACACAACTGTCAATACTTTTCAATTTTCGTTATATAATCTCAATATGCCTTTCTGAGATGAACATGTACTTTAGTTGCGGTGATGGAAAGCAGGAGATTGATCTGTTGAAGGCCTCTCTCCGGTCACTCAAACCTGAACATCGAATTCTATGATAATACTATACCAGGTACAGAAGAGACCACATATTATAAATGACTTGATGTGCTCTTTCATTAGAAAAAAAAATAACTTATGTGTACAAGCTTGGGACAGAGTTGAAATCTCACACAGCAGATAACAATAGAAAAGGCTTAAAGATTGCAGAGCAGAGTTACAATATACATAAGACTACAGATTTTTTTAGCCTTCAAATTAGGAAATTGTGTTCATTTTAAGGAAATATTGTTATATTTTCTGTTTTTTTCCATATGTGTTCTTGTTTTAAGACTGTTCTCCTTTACAACACAGCTATATTTAACTTTGGTTCTAATATACTTCCGAAACTGTATGTACTCAAATGACACTTCAAGAGAATTACAGTGACTGCTGGACCTGTTTCCACAAAGTATAAAAGCATACCATTCACTTAACCCCTTTGTCCTGCCGTGGTTAAGGGAGAATGCAGTTTATCCAGCTTTCTACGAAGCCAAAACAAGATAGTTAAGCCCTGTGTTCTGGATGGTAAAAGCCAGGATCCATGTTTTTTCAGCCAATGCTTGAAACTTTAAATTGAAAGTCCAGGAATGGGTAAAATGAACACATAAAACGTATCTTAACCAACATTAAAATCAAACGTAATTACAATACATACATACACAAAAAAAAAAAAAACTAAATACACAGAGAAAAAGAAATAGCAAGATTAATAGAATACTGAGAGCCATACTGAACAACATATCTAGGTCCCTTGACCCAAGTCTACCTAACCCAGAGCTGGTATAAATTCCAGAAATACATGCAGTGAATGGGATGTTGTAATAGGGTGAGATAGCCAGTAGATGTCAATGGAGTCCCAACTTAACCAAAAATAGACTGGTCAGCAGTAGCACACACACAATCCTATGAATAAGGATAGAATAGAAAACCAAGTGTATCCTAATAAAATGGTGTGGCTTGGTTGACAAACTCCCCAGTAAGGAGGAGAGAGTGGGGAAGCAACTGTAGAATACAATCCTAAATAGATCAGTTTAAAGGAAAACTATAGTGTTTAGTTTGATGGACCACCATAATAGTTAAAAAGTAGAGTATTAACTCCAGTGCCGTACAGTTCATGCTGCAGCTGCTCCGCCTCCCTGATTATTTCAGTCAAATCAAAGCATCCCCGTAAAGAAGCACTGGGAGACTAGTGCACATGCTTGCCAAAAGGCCGCACTGGGCCAATCAAAAGCGCTCTAGGAGAGTCATTTCAGCTAAAACAGGTTTTAACTTGGTTATAGCCATTGAAGCGCTTCTAGCGACTGTATTCCTGACAGTGACCAGAGGCGTGTTATTCCTGCAATGAAAATATTGCTGTTCTTGCAAATACAGAAATGTTTTTCAATTGCAGGGTTAATAAGACAGAGCACTGCACTTCAAAGACAAAAGTCTTTTTTTTTCTTAATATTATTGGCTTCACAAGGTTTTATGGCGAGTATAGGGTTCCTAATAATCAGTTGCAATTAAAGCGTGTTTTTAAGTTTGGATAATAAAAGTTGTTTTTTTAATTTATCCACTCCTTGACATTCCATTCAGAATTTCTGTAGTAGTTACCTACCATGGTCTTCTCTGATTGTTGCAGCACTGTGCATATGGGCCCATCCTTTACAAAAATATAATCTGAAACCTGACTTAGCCAGCCTATTGGCACTTGTGAGCTATAATGAAGAGTCAAAATCTGGTTGTTAATAAACTACAATTGCTATCACTAAAGTCAAGAATTTCAGGTTAGTGGATTTTACCTTTTCCCAACTATACCCTAGCCAAGTACATTTTAGTGACCTAAACTCAATTAGAAATTCAGAAAGTTATTTTAACCTAAACTCTTAAATGCAGTTCCTAACCAAAATCCCAGGCTTTAACTCCTCAGATTCCAGAAGTATAGCATTGATTACTATATTGCTAGTTTTAACCATTCCATGTGGCTTACTAATAATAACATTAACCTCAAAAAAAGTTTATGAGATTATTGCTCCAAACCACTAATGGTTCGCTAGGCTGGCAAAGCATCATGGGATTTGTAGTTATGCCACAGCCGAGGATCAAGTTTTTGGCTACCCCTGCTTTGACAAAACCAATCCTAGCAAAGCATTCAAATATACCTCTTTCCAAGAAACTTAAAGTGGCAAAAGTAAAGCAGCATTATTATATCTACATCTCCATGTACAACAGTGCCCTCTTTGAATATTGACACCCATGGTAAATATTAGTAAAGAAGGATGTGAACAATTATCTTTATAGTTTATTTTTATCTTTTGTTCCAAAAAATATAAATAATATACAAAATACTCTGCTCTCATGGATATCAAACTTTTGCAAACACAGCACAGGTTTATATTTAAAAAAAAAAAAAGTGTGGCTCAATTGTTGGTAGCCCTATAAATTCATGAGAAAAATATATTTGGAATATATTCCCATTGATATTTTAGAAATATTAGTACACCTCGTTGTCTAGGATCAGTATATTGTTCAACCATGAATTCCTGTTTCACAAGGGTTAAATATGAGGTAACACATAGGCCAAATTCCATCATTCTTCACAATGGGTAAGACAGGAACATAGCGGTGATGTGCAACAAGTGGCCAAATTTTAATTTTATTTAAAATAGCAAAAGCATTGAAAATGCCAATTTCCACCATCAGGAAGTTCCAGTCAACTACAAACGTTATGAATCAACATGGAAGAGAACGTGTGTCTATAATGTCTCAACGCACTGTGAACAGGATGGTTTGAGTGGCCAAAAATCTCCAAGGATCATAGCTAGAGAACTGCAGGAGTTAGTTGCGTCTTGGGGTCAGAAAATCTCCAAAATTACAATCCAACGTCACCTATATCACCACAGGTTGTTTGGAAGGGTTTCAAGGAACAAAAGACTACTCTTGTCCAAAAACAAATTGAAGCATCTGCGGTTTGCCATACACTACTGGAACTTCAGATGGCATCAGGTTCTATGGTCATATAAAACCAAAATAGAGCTTTTTTTCATTAAACATCAGAGGTGGGTTTGTCAAAATCAGCAAGGAAGTCATATGGAAAAGTACCTCATGCGCACTGTTAAATATGGTGGTGGCTATTTAATGTTTTATGGCTGTTTTTCTGCCAGAGGAGCAAGAACTTCTGTTAGAATACCTGACAACATGGATTCTATCAAAAATCAGCAGAATACCCGACTACCTCTGCAAGAAAATGGTTTAATGAACACAAAATCAAGGTTCTGCTATTACCATCCTAGTTCCCTGACTTAAACCTCAAAGAAAACATGTGGGACCAGGAGAACAGGAGAGTCCACAACTGAGCAGGGGAGTCCACCAGCTTCAACATCGAAATCTGAAGGATTTGGAGAAATTCTGTATGGTGGAATGGTCTCCTGTATTCTTCAACCTCATGCATTATATGTAGCATATGTAGGTTTTTTTATAAACCTGTATTGTGTTTGAATTGTTATATATCTGTGATAGCATACTATTTTTATTTTAAACAAAAAAATAAAGGTTAAACAATAAACACAAACTTTCACTGCCTTCTCTGCTCATATTTACCACGAGTGGTATATCATTTTTAAATGCATAAGCACATGATTTCATGTATGCATCCACAAATGTTATATGTTAATGGGGAAAAACAGCTAGCATTTTGGTGGGAATGCAAAACATACATTCATTGCTACCATACACACAGGGAGTTAATATTGAGCCCCCCAAGCTTGCAAATGCATTATTTTCCAGAGTGCACTTCATTTAAAGGTGCAGTGTTTGTTTTTTTTTGTTTTTTAAATGGCATTACAAAGCGCATGCAATCAGAACAGTTACTGACAGCTATCTTTTACAAGATAATTAGTGGATCATGGTTTTACAGTTGTGTACAATTTGGAATTTTGAACTCTATAAACTCCTGGCCACATGAAATGAAGAATCACTGGTAACCCCTCTGCCATAAAGGGTGCCCACAGAGCCAGCTTATGCATGACAGCTTAGATGTCTAGAGGAAGTATCAGATAATATGGCGATTCTTTAGCTGGTTCTAGAATGCTTTTCTTAGATCACAATTTTATTTTATTTCAAAATGCTTGTTTTTTTCTGTTTACCTGCACTGTTCATCTTCTATGCAAGTGTGTGACGGAGAATGATGAATTTGCCCACAGCTGGCAAGGCAGTAGTTTGTCTAGTTATCTCCATGGGCAAATACCACTGCCCCCTAACTATACAAACTACTACCTCAGCCAGACAACTGAGCCAAGCTCTTCTTATGTATTCAAGTATCATGTAGTTTCTGGATAGCAGGTTCTGTTGTAGATTTTGAACACTCTATATATTAAAGAAAAAAAAAAGGTTAATCTTTAGTTTCAGACAGGTGAAACACAGTTTAAACTATGCATGCTACTGGAAGCAAGCAGTGTATTTTATGTTATCAAATTTTAAAACCGATACACCAATGTAACACTCCAATTAATATTCCCTTTTTGATAATGCAAATAACATCTGAGTGGCTGTTTATGGTGACCATATAGATGGCCACAACCCACTTATTTTAATAAACACTCCAAGCACTAAAATTATTACAGCACGCTGTAGTGAATATAGTACCAGGAGTCTCCTGGCACCCTCTAATGTCAGCGGTCCAACCTTATGGTAACCATTCGACTTCTTACTTGGGGTCCAATCAGCATCACTCCCTACCTCTTCTGCAGACAAACTCTGTGCCTGAGCTAATCCCATTATTGTAGGGCATATCTTAGGAGAGCTAATGGCTGCTACCAACAGGGAAGAGGCAGGAATTGGTGCTTGGTGGAACCCCAGATAACAAGTCATAATTTTACCTCATGTTTTTAATGACTTGCATAGGTTAGAATGCCTGGGCAATCCTGGCACCATAACCACAACAGACTAGTAGTTATGGTGCATGAAGTGTTCATATAAGATTCACAAATAATTGCATTATAAATTACATAACATCATTTTGAAGGATCTAAATTTGAAAGAGACAGACCTTTTAGAAATGCCAAATATGCACATGACTTTGCAATTTTATGTTTTCCTAGCTATTTTACTTATAAAATATAAGCACCAAGTACATTACCACAAATTGAAAATATCACTGTCTTACAGCAATGGAAAGAACTCACTTGGCAAGACGCAACAAAAAATGGCTACTGACTAGCAACCAATGAAATGTGCAATATCTTTGGCAGATGTGACATTAGGGAGTGGGAACTTCTGATCAGTGACTAAACAGCCATATGTTTTGTGACCGTCTACGATAGCCATGTTCCACGAACAGCAGGCCACTAGAAGGTGCATTAAAGAGATAGTACTTCTAGATTTTAGAAGCTTCCTGTTTAATATGAGAAGACATTAGTTCCCAGGCCCCTCTGCAAAGTCACAGTTTAGTCTGTCCTGCATTTCAGGAATGATTTATCAGAGACGTGTTAAAGTAAATACCGCCTTAATGTATATCAAGAGGGAGACTGAAAAAATACATAATATAAAACAATGCAGCTTTTTTTACTTGTTTGCAAACTGAGAAAGAAACAAAATGTTTTTCATTAAGAACGCCGATTCTCTTTAGATGCGATGATTAATGGCGTCGCAGTTTCTTTATGGAAAACGAAGGGTTAAGTGCGCTCCCCACTGTGGCTCAGCCACTCTTACTGCAAGGGGAAAAGGTGTTTTGTCAGACAGCCCAGGCAACCAATTACAGGGTTCTTCTCCTTCAAACTCCAATTTCCCAGCCAATAGATGCAGGAGGGCGTGATGCAGCAGAGTTAGGTTGTCGCTTGCTCTGCCACGCGTTCACCCATCAGATGCTTCTGCAGCAGCCCAGGCCTGTGAAGTGCATAGGATTAATAAAAGCATGTGTATTAGTTGCAAACAATTAGATACCCAAAGTACTGTTTATAACAGCAATCATGTAAGAAAAGCACCATCAATAACGAATGGCATTATCAGTGTACATATATGCAACACATAATAACAAGTAAAGCAAATACTGTATCAGCTTGATTTCCCCATGCACATTATACATACACATCACGATATTGGCGCGCACACACTAACGTGACTTACAAAAAAACGAAAAGAAAAAAAAAAAAAAGAAAGAAAAAAACCAGCTATAAAATTAGAAATCAAATGCATACTAAACAAAACTGCAATCTACTACTGAGAATATTCTGCACAGTTAATGGCGGCCATAGATGCAAATGCTTTGTAACAAGAGCTTACAATCTATATGTAGATGCTGGGGAGGACAAAACCATAAAAATAGATCGCTCAAGGTCATAAAAAGATGGGACCACACATTTTAGACAGTTAATTAAAAAAAAAAAGAGTCACAGGTTAGGTACTATTTACAGAAGACATCTGGCAATCACAAATTGTAATATTTTAAACTCCTTCCAGTGCATTAAAAATGGAAAATAAAAAATAATTAGTAATACAGAAGACAGTGAAGGATAATGACCAGTAGCACATATATAACACGTGGGCACTGCAGATCTAAGTATGCATTTGATAAAAGCTGCATTGTTGCCCTTGGGAACACGTGTTAGAATACAGGCACATGATGTGAAGTATTTCTGGTTATAATAAGTGAACCCCCTTAATGTCAGGATTCTACTCACATTCTGGAGATCTGCATGCTGCAGGTGGGCTGTGAGAGCTCCCATGCCGTCCTTTGGAATGACCTCTCTCTTACCTCCCCCTCCTTACAGGCATGTCAGCTTCCTCAAAGCCATGAGCAAGCTTTTTTTGTGGGGTGGGGTGGATCTGTTATACCCCTGGAGAAATGATGCTGCATTTCCATGGGCCTGGGCAGACTGCTGCAGACATAAGGCTGCTTCCATAAACTCAATAGCAAACGCTTATTAAAAGACTCACTCACTGACTTCAGCCTATACTCACACTCCCCCTCCTCCCCATGCTGCACACAAAAAAAAAAAATTCCATTCCCAGCCCTGTGATGCAATATGGCACTGAACCAATAGTAGGTGGCTTCAGTTTTTTTTCTCTTAAAGGGAAAGGCTTATATCTACTAGAACTGTTACCTGTTAAAATAAGAGGGAAGTAAGAATAACTAGAAAAATGGGGGACATGCTCTGCTGCTGCTGCTGTCTTACTGACAAGAACACTGCGTTTAGTTCACTATAGTGATGCCCAACAGTATGTAGACTTCACTGTTGTCAGAGGCAATAGATTAGTCAATGAACTTTTTTCTATATATTCCTTCTTTTTTTTTTTTTTTCTTTTTTTTTTATCAGTCAAGAACTGTAAGTGAATTTCACATTTCAGACCAAAATGGCTGAACTGGAGCCATAGCTGACTTGAAGATTTATTTTCAATTAATTCATTTTCAGTCATCCCAACATGCAAAACCTAATTTCATGTAGGTGGCACACACTGGACACATGCACACGCCATGACACACACAATAACACACAGATACTCACACTGACACACATATATATACACACACACATTGAAATATACACACACCTTGACACACAGATACACACACTGGCATATGACACACATAGACACATACATATATTGTATATGATTTGCAGGTGTCAGAGAGCCATATTGAAAAAGCAGGAAAGCAGGAGTTGGGAAGTCTATATTTTGGCCTTAAAGGGACACTCCAGGCACCCATACCACTTCTGCCCATCGGAGTGGTCTGGGTGCCAACTCCCATCACCCTTAACCCTGCAAGTATAATTATTGCAGTTTTTATAAATTGCAATAATGACCTTGCAGGGTTAAGTCCTCCTTTAGTGGCTGTCTATCAGACAGCCACTAGAGGGACTTCCAGGTTCTTAAAGCGGCACTGTCATGCCGAACTTACCTTTCTTTAATCGATTCCTCTTTTCTTCCTCTGTCAGGATCTGTTCAGCATTTCTTCCTGTCTGCCCTAGTTATCTTTAAAACATAAGATAAAGTAGGGACTACTTTGTCTTATGGAGGTTTCCTACGCTTGACCAACTTTGACCAGTGGAGTAACAAAGTGTGCTTCATTTCCGGCGGTCAAAGCAATTTTACCACATGACAGGAGGCTTCATATTTGCTGAAAATCTCCAGCAGCACAGAAACATAAACAACCAATCAGAAAAAAAGGAGGATGTTATACAAAAGGCTCTGTAAGACCACGCCCTTCCTCTTTCTTTGCTGCTCCAGCTAGTGCACAGGTCAGAGTATGTTGTTCTACCTTATTCTTTTGGATTTCACGGTTTTAAAATTGATTATTCAGATTTCTTTCTACTTTCTCTGTGACCCCTCATCTATTACTTCATGACTATTGGGGTTTTATTGGTGTTTAGTATATAATTTGAACTTTTCTTCCCTCCTCTGCCCTCTTGCATTATTCCCTCAGACTGTCACTAACTATCTTCTGCCTTATTAGCCTCAGGGCTCTTGGCTAATTTTTCGCCATGTTTGCGCTCATCCCTCTTTCAGGGACACTGTTTAGGGTGTGCACGGGGTGAAGGGGGTTTGCAGGGTTGGTCTTACTATACCGGTTAGATTTGGCAGGCCGCGGCTGGCGGCCATCTTGGATCTCGTGAGTACCGCGAGATTCCCAGCAGCCATACTTTCTCTGTCATTCAAGATTGGGAATCATTCGGTCTGGACTCACAATCTGCTACCAAATATACCTATTGTGGAAGGTACTGCTTACTAAACCTATTTGAATCTGCTTGTACAAAGGATTAATACATGTTTATACTTGGAATTCATTCACATGAGTGTAGTATATATATGGATTTTCTACATATGGCTGTCTAAAAGACAATACCAAAGCATTATTATAGACCTGTTCATCCACTGTGATTATTCTGTACTGTGCCATGTGCAGGGCCGGCGCGTCCATAAGGCGGCACAGGTGGCCGACTTAGGGCGCACCGGCCCGGGGGCGCAAATGTCCGGGTGACCGGCAGGAGAGAAGCGCACCGCTCCCCTCTCCTGCCGGTCACTTCTTGTAGCGTGGCCGAGCGCCAACCTGCAGTGCCGCGGACTGTGTGGAGGGGGCGGGGATATGAACGTCATATCCCTGCTCCCTCTGTAGCACACAGCGCGGCTGGCGCCCAGCAGGGGCGGAGCTACCACCGGCCCCCTTCTAATCAGCATGGGAGGAAGTCCTCCCAAGAAGACTAGAGCAGCAGAAGGCAGAGAGGAGGGGGGCTGGGCAGGACCAGCTCCTCCAACTCCCAACTACCTCAGGCAGCACTTTGGATCCCAGGTAAGCCCCCCTCCTGAACCTGTTGGTCAGTGTGTCTGTGTGTATCCATGTCTGTCGGTGTGTGTGTGTGTGTATGTGTGTGTGTATATGTCTGTCAGTGTGTGTGTGTGTGTATCTATGTCTGTCAGTGTGTGTGTGTGTATCCATGTCTGTCAGTGTGTGTGTGTATCCATGTCTGTCAGTGTTTGTGTATGTATATGTCTGTCGGTGTGTGTGTGTGTATCTATGTCTGTCGTGTGTGTGTGTATGTCTGTCGTGTGTGTGTGTGTGTGTATGTCTGTCAGTGTGTGTGTGTGTGTGTGTCTGTCGGTGTCTGTGTGTATCTATGTCTGTCGGTGTGTGTGTGTGTGTGTGTGTGTCTGTCAGTGTGTGTGTATGTCTGTCAGTGTGTGTGTGTATCTATGTCTGTCGGTGTGTGTGTGTATATGTCTGTCGGTGTGTGTGTCTGTCGTCAGTGTGTGTATGTCTGTCAGTGTGTGTGTATCTATGTCTGTGTCAGTGTGTGTGTGTATGTCTGTGTGTGTGTGTATCATGTCTGTCGGTGTGTGTAGTGTGTGTGTGTGTGTGTATGTCTGTCAGTGTGTGTGTGTATGTATATGTCTCTGTCCGTGTGTCTGTGTGTATCTAAATGTCTGTTAGTGTGTGTGTCTGTCTGTTAGTGTGTCTTTGTGTGTCTTCTTCCCTATCATTGTGTATGTGTGTCTGTATGTCACTGTGTGTTTATCTGTATGTCTGTCAGTGTTTGTGTGTACCTGTGTGTCTATCAGTTTGTGTATATGTATATCTGCATGTGTCAGTGTGTGTATCTTTGTGTATGTGTATCACAGTGTGTGCGTGTGTGGCAGTGTATGTGTATATGTGCATATAGCTCAGCATTCAAACACAACACTACACACAAATAAACACCTGCATGCAAACGTCAACACTACATACAAACACACCCCTGCATTCAAATGTCAACACTACATACAAACACACCTCTATATCAGACACCAAAATTATATATAAACACACACCTGCGTTCAAAAACCAACACTACACATAAATGCATGCTTGCATTCAAATGCAAACACTACATACAAACACACCGCTACAATCATACAAACATACTCCATACAAACACATGCTTACAGTCAAACACACAAATACTGCTCCATGCTAAATACAGTCCTGCAAGCATGGGGAATCGGTAGAGCCCCAGCTTTCAAAGCATTGTTGAAGTTGCACGACAGATGGGGATCTATCTTTTAGCCATCCTGTGTACATACACAGACCGTCATACAGAGACATACAGTATGTATGTCTTTGTATGACTGTGTAAATGTATTCAAAAGGAATAAACGCAGGCAACACTCCAATAGTAAGGATGGTATATTTATTGATAGGTGAACCACCCCAAAGAAAGTGCGTTGTTTCGGCTCAGCAGAGCCTTATTGCATGAGCTGAAACATCACACTTTCTATGGGGTGGTTCACCTACCAATAAATATACCATCCTTACTATTGGAGTGTTGCCTGCGTTTATTCCTTTTGAAGACTTTACTGGTGGATCCAGCAATGTCTGCCTGACATGGAGCATCCACCTCTGTTGATGGCCGGAGCATTTACACGGTGTCAGTGTGCAGGGTTCTTTGTTTGTCTGTGTATGTATGTCTCTGTATGCCTATCTCTTTTTCTTTATGTCTGTGTATGTATTTTTGTGAGTGCCTGTGTCTGTATGAATGTATGTCTGTGTTTGTACGACAATGTACCTGTATGTGTAGATTGTATGACTGTGTTTGTTTGTGTGCCTTTTATGACTGTGTGTCTGTATATCTTTGTGACTGTGTGCCTGAAAAATTATGTCTGTGTGCTTGTATGGTTGTGTATTTGTGCATGTATGTATTTTTGCCTGTATCTATGTCTATGTGGGAGAAAAAGAGAGATAGATAGGGGCTGGCGGGGAAGTAAGAAATACATAAGAGGGGTTGTAGGAGACACACTAAAGGGGGGTGTAAGGCACAAAGGGGCCAAAGGGGTAAGACATTCAAGAGAGTGGATATGCAACACTAATGGGGGTAAGAAATTCAAAAGGGGGCTACGAGACACAGAGGTGAAGATGCATTGTTTATTTTTTTTTGGGGGGGGCGTCAAAATGCATCTTCGCCTGTGTAGTCAAAAATCCTAGCACCGGCCCTGGCCATGTGTATATTACTACTATGTGGGTGTCCTCTGGGTTTTTCACAGCACGCCACCTGGGGTGAGCCCCCAGATTATTATGTATAGCTCTGCCGGAGCAGACTCTATAAAGATATGGCACCTTACTTGCAATGTTAGTACCTATGTGATTGTGCTGAATACTCTTGCTGGCAAAGAGGTTACGCCTCGCGAGTACAACGGGGTGAGCCCCAATATCATTATTCGCCTCTGAGCGTCTGTTCAGAGGGTGAGACCCTCTCAAATACCAAACCCCACGGAGGGGTCTTATTGAGTGAACCCCAATTTTATGAGAGTATTATGTCTCCCATATCACTCAAGGGAAACCCCCTTTTGTACCACGATAGGGTGTGCCCTCTTTCACTGGCACCTACTACACTCACGACACATTGCCCGCTACCAGGGTTCTGGGCGAGCCCCAGTTGTACCAGGAGTCTGGCACCTTGTGGACTTGTTCCTCTGCCACTTCTTCATTACAGATTCACTCGATCCGGACTTTAG